AGGCGGGAATGGAATGCTGGGGTGGAGGGGGCTGAGAGGTCCTAGGGGTCCTAGACCTAGAAGAGGAAGACTGTGGTCTGACCATGGTAGTTATCAGGTGACCCAATCAAGAGAAAGCACAGTGCAAGCAGCCTAGGCTATAAGAATTACCCCAACAAGACAGCAAATGCAATGGAGAATTATCGGAGGCTCCAAATGAGTTCAATGCAGAAACAAAATAGTTGAAAAGTGCAATACTACTCCAAATATTCCAAGCAAGTCAATTAAAGGCAACCAACTTCAACAAGCAAATGCAAACGGCGCATTCATATCCCAATTCAACAAATAAACGCAGGAAAGTAGCCACCATACTAGAGCACAGCTCCCAATAATGCAACAGAACAGCAACTCAAACAAACTAGGAACTGTGCTAGTGTCTTAATAAATCAACAACTTTCAGCAATTAGACACAATCGGACCCAATATCGTAACAACTGTCTCCAATTGGACAGTCAATTACCCACTTCAACCTGCTAAAATTAGCAAGTGACCCAAGAAAATGGCAACTCCAGCAACAACAGTTCAGAAGTTGGACAGAAACAACTCAACCACAAATGCCCAGTAGTCGATTAGGCAACCAATAACACAGGAGTAACAAATACTATGTAAACTACCCTCACCAGTACCACTGGTGCATGCACAGGGAAAATTGAAATCAAATGGCCAACCCAAGACATGTGATAAAGCCAAACACACCAATCAGTACCACTGAATGGCAGAGAGTACCACGGGACCCAATTGACAAGTAACTCCCAAATTGCCCCCAACAATTTCCAAACAAATAAACTGGCACAAAAGTCATCAAATTTTATCCCCTAGATGCAATAGAAATCTCAAGTAGTCAAAACCCAAATAATATTCAACAATATAATCAATACCAGAGAGCACCCCCAAATGGGGTAGCAAATAAATTAAATTCCACCCAAAATTAACCCCAGAAAATAATTAAGCAAATAGACAGAGCAAAAACCCCCTCAAAAACTAAATAAACAGGCAGGTAGAGTAAAGATTCTCCCCAAATACTACCGGTTGAGCACAAAATTTACCAAATAATCAACAACCAACCACAGATATACCACAGCACCCAAACAAGCACAAAATTTCTGTCCTCAACTAGCAAATCAAAAAACTGGCATCAGCTAATGAAAAACTAGTACTCTGGCCTCAGCTACTTAGCGACTGAAAAAAAAATAAAGAAAGAATTCACCAGAAGTTTGGAGTAGGCAGTGGGTGCTAGTGAAGAGAGCAGGGGCAGCAAAGAGGTGGAGAAATTCACCGCGCGGGCGTCGCACGCGCACCTGGTCTACTCGCGCGAGGAGGAAACGCGGCTGTGAAGTCGCGCCTGGGCTCGCCTGTGTGCGAGCTGCTGCCTTGGTGACCGCGCGCTGTGCTGCTGGAGGCGCTGTTCTGGTCGCGCGCGGAGGAAGCTGCTGGTGGACTGGCGGTGGAGCTCGGAGCTTGGCGGCGGGCTGGAGGGGGTTGAGCAGCCGCGCGAGGAGAGAGAGATGGGGTGTTGGCGGCACGCGACTGGGGACGCACTGAAGCAGGCGGCGGCGTGTGAAGAGTGGCGACCCGATGGACTGCAGCAGCTGCGGCTGAGCTGGACGTGCGGCAATGGAGGAGAAAGGGTGGTGTGGACTGCGCACGCGGGCTGTGGCGGCGAAGCTACGGTGGCCTGGAGCTGCTGGCAGCGCGCGAGGAGGTTGCAGCGTGCTGGTCAGCGGCGGGTGAAGAAGGAAAGAAAGGGGGAAAGAGGGAAAGCAGCGGGGAAGAAGGAAGAAAGAAAGAAAAGAAAGAAAGAAGAAAAGAAGAAAAGAAAGAAGAAAAAGAAAAGAGAAAAGGGAAATTTTTTTTTTTTTCAAACATTACTCTAATGTAAATCGTCCAAATTGGAAAAAATTTTTTTTATATATATATTATTATTATTATTATCTTCTTTTTTTTTGTTTATTTTTCTATTTATTTTTTAAAATTTTTTTTCTTTTAGGGTTTAGAAAGAAAATAATCTTTTCTTTTTCTTTTAATATAAGTAATAATAATAATAATAATAATAATAAATAATTTTTTTTTTACTGCAAAAACATGGTTTGGGTCGTCCAACACCGCGTGGGCACGCCAAGATTAGTTTTCGTCCTCTGGTCTCAGAAAACACAAACACCGCGTGGGCACGACAAGATTGGTCTTCGTCCTCTGGTCTCAGAAAACGCAAACACCGCGTGGGCACGCCAAGATTTCACTTCCTGGTCATAGTGGAGGAGATATTAGCATTGATACTACCCAATGGAGAAACGACAAAACGAAAGAAATAAGCAATTAAAAATAATAAAATCAATATTCGGGTTGCCTCCCAAACGAGCGCCTTTCTTTAGTGTCTTTGGCTAGACACAACCCGTAATTCGCTTAAACCAAGCAAATCGGGTCCTCTAAATGCATCGTCTCTACCCGTTCAACTGGAGCCCCATCATAATATGGCTTGAGACGATGACCATTCACCACAAATTTCTTCTCCGTCCTTAGATTCTGGATCTCCACTGCACCATAATCAAAGACATTAGTTACAACAAAGGGACCGATCCAACGAGAACGTAACTTATCTGGAAATAACTTCAACTTTGAGTGGTACAGTAGAACTTTTTGCCCACATGCAAACGTTTTCCTAGAGACCTGTTGGTTATGAAATATATTATTCTTCTCCTTATAAATCACAGCATTCTCATAGGCTTCATTGCGAATCTCCTCCAATTCTTGTAACTGTAGCTTCCTTTGAATTCCGCCCTCTTCGATGTCCATATTGCATTGCTTAACCGCCCAAAATGCTCTATGCTCGAACTCGACAGGGAGGTGACATGGCTTCCCAAATACCAAACGATAAGGGGACATGTCGATTGGCGTCTTGTACGCCGTTCTATATGCCCATAAGGCATCTTCAAGTCGCATGCTCCAATCCTTCCTATCGGGGCGAACCATTTTCTCCAAAATTGACTTGATCACCCGATTTGATGTTTCCGCCTGACCGTTTGTCTGACGATGGTAAGAAGTGGAGACTTTGTGCAAAACACCGTACCTCCTGAAAAGTGCAGCAATCGTCTTGTTGCATAAATGGGTACCCCTATCACTTACAATTGCTCGCGGCATCCCAAAGCAGACAAAAATATTAGATTTGACAAGTTCTGCAACCACTTTGAAATTGTTAGCACGGGTGGGCTTTACTTCCATCCATTTCGAAACATAGTTTACGGCAAGCAATATATAAAGAAAACCATAAGACGAAGGAAAAGGACCCATAAAGTCAATACCCCAAACGTCAAAAATCTCAACAAAAATCATTGGGGTTTGGGTCATTTGATCCCTATGAGAAATATTACCCACTCGTTGACACTTATCACATGACTTACAAAACGAGTAGGCATCCTTAAAGAGGGTCGGCCAATAGAATCCACTCTCTAGAACCTTACGAGCCGTCCTTTTTGGTCCAAAGTGACCTCCACATGCAAAAGAATGACAATAAACTAAAATAGATTGGAATTCATTTTCACTTACACATCTGCGAATGATTTGGTCGGCACCACGCTTCCAGAGGTAAGGGTCATCCCAAATGTAAGATTTCGCGTCACTCCTTAACTTGTCCCGTTTTGCCTTAGGCCATCCTGCAGGAAACTTGTCAGTAACTAGGAAATTAACAATATCTGTATACCAAGGCAAAGATAAATTAACAGAAAATAAATGTTCATCGGGGAATGTTTCTCTCAGTGGGAGGTCGTCTTCGGTGACTTGTACTCTACTCAAGTGATCTGCTACCAAATTCTCGGCCCCTTTCTTGTCTCTAATCTCCAGGTCAAACTCTTGTAGCAATAGTATCCACCTTATAAGTCGTGGTTTTGCCTCTTTTTTGGTCAACAAATACCGTAAAGCTGCATGATCAGAGAAGATAATAACTTTAGTACCAAGTAAATAGGACCGAAATTTCTCTAAAGCAAAAACTACAGCTAAAAGTTCCTTTTCGGTGGTCGAATAGTTCAACTGAGCTCCGTTCAAGGCTCGAGATACGTAGTAGATAGCATGGGTTGCCTTCCCCACTCTTTGACCCAGCACCGCGCCCACTGCATAGTAACTGGCGTCACACATGATTTCGAATGGCAGGTTCCAGTCGGGCGGTTGGATAATAGGTGAGGAGATTAATAGCTCCTTCAACCTATCAAACGCCTTCTTACATGATTCATTGAATTCAAAGGGCACCTCCTTTTGCAAATGTTGGAACAGGGGCGCTCCAATTTTGGAGAAATCCTTTATGAACCTCCTGTAAAAACCTGCATGTCCCAAGAAAGAACGCACTTCCCGCACACTCGCAGGGTAAGGTAAAGTAGATATAACATCTATTTTCGCTTTATCAACCTCAATACCCTTAGATAACATTATATGACCCAAAACTATCCCGTGCTCGACCATAAAATGGTATTTTTCCCAATTGAGCACAAGATTAGTTTCTATGCACCTAATCAGAATTAATTTCAGGTTATCTAGACAATTATCAAAACTTTCCCCATAAACACTAAAATCATCCATAAAAACCTCAATAATCTTCTCAACATACTCTGAAAAGATACTTACCATACAGCGTTGGAAGGTAGCAGGTACATTGCATAACCCAAATGGCATCCTTCGGTATGCAAATGTTCCAAACGGGCACGTGAAGGTAGTCTTCTCCTGGTCCTCGGGGGCGATAACAATCTGGAAATAACCTGAAAATTCATCCAAAAAATAATAGTAAGCTCGACCTGCTAATCGCTCTACCATTTGATCAATGAAAGGAAGGGGAAAGTGATCTTTTTTCGTGACGGCATTCAATTTCCTATAATCTATTCACTGCCGCCACCCGGTGGGCTTTCGAACTGGTACGAGCTCGCCCTCTTGATTTGACTCCACCGTTACCCCTGCCTTCTTCGGGACCACCTGTACTGGACTCACCCAGGGACTATCTGATATAGCAAAGATTATCCCCACATCCAGCAGTTTCAGGATCTCTTTCTTCACTACCTCCATCATAAGGGGATTCAATCTCCTTTGAGCTTGCCGGATAGGTTTAGCATCCTCCTCGAGTCGAATTCAATGCATACATACCGCGGGGCTAATTCCTTTGATATCGGCGATGGTCCATCCTATCGCCTGCTTATGGTTTCTCAAAACTCGAATCAATTTGTCTTCTTGTACTTTTGATAAACTCGCGGAGATGATTACCGGGAGTGTCTCCCCCTCACCCAAGTATGCATACTTAAGGTGTTTCGGCAGCGGTTTCAACTCCAACACAGGTGCCTGCACCACAGATGGAAGTAACCTTTGGTAAGATTCAGGTGTAAAAATGGGTGCGAGACCATACCTTATTTTTGTGGTTGGCAACGTTTGCAACGCTCCAATCACACATTTGAACTCTTCACTCAACTCTACTCCAGACGCCATATCTGACTCGAAGTGCCTGGTCAAGGCGACTTCCAACTCATCACTGTCTTCAATTTCAAAAACTTCTCGTACAGCAGGGTCAATAATATTTATAGAGAAAACAGAGCCAGCATGTAATTCTGAAGGATATTTCATGGACTCGAAAATATTAAAATGAACAATCTCACCATCAAATTCCATAGATAGGGTGCCCTTATTTACATCAATTTTAGTTCGAGCTGTGCTCAAGAAGGGTCTTCCTAACAATAAAGGTGATGGGTCGTGGGAGTGTTCATCATCCATATCAAACACGTAAAAATCAGCAGGAAAAACCAATTCATTAATTTTTACTAAAACATCCTCAATCAATTCGTCAGGGTATGCATTGGTTCGGTCAGCCAGTTGGATTATTATTCCAGTGTCTTTCAGAGGTCCTAATTTCAAAGAAGCATATATAGATTTCGGCATGACATTAATTGAGACTCCTAAATCTAACATAGCCTTTCCAATCAAGGTATTGCCTATTCTACAAGGAATAGTGAACATACCTGGGTCCCCGCATTTCGGTGGAAGCTTTCGTTGCAGGATTGCTGACACATTTTCCCCCACTACCACTGTCTCATCTCCCTTCAACCGCCTTCGGTTGACACACAAGTCCCTCAAAAATTTTACGTATCTGGGTACTTGCTTGATCGCATCCAGTAGGGGAATGTTGATCTTCACCTTGCGAAAGATCTCCAGGACTTCTTTCTCCTTGTCCTGCTTCTTTGGTTTTTCTAACCTGCTAGGAAAGGGAGGTGGATTACTCCTAACTGCAATGATTGGATCCGAGGTTACCTTTGGATTTTTGGTGTCTCCGCCCTCCTCTTCCAACTCTTTCTCGATTCGTTCCTCGTCCTTGTCCTTAGGAGTCACAGGCTCGGGCCCCTGAACTTCCTTCCCGCTCCTTAGGGTCATTGCGCTCACGTTCTTCGGATTTAATTCAGGCTGAGACGGCAATTTACCTTGGTTCTGGGAATCCAAACGATTGATGGTAGTAGCCATTTGACTTATCTGATTCCTTATGTCTTGCATTTCGGAGTCCGTTCTTTGCTGATTTTGAGTAATGGTTGCCTCCGTCCTTTGCTAATTTTGCGTAATGGTTGCCATCATTTGTTTCATCATCTCCTCCAAATATGGACCAGAGCTTGGGGGCGGAGGTGGTCGGGGTTGGTATTGCTGCTGGTACCCTGGTTGCTTATTTGGCACGAAGTTAGACTGCCTGTTCGGTGCAAAGTTGGGCTGCCTATTTCCTCCATAACTGAAATTCGGGTGATCCTTCCAGCCGGGATTGTACGTATTTGAGTACGGGTCATACGGCCTTCTTGGCGCAGGCGCGTGATCAGCCATGTTCACCTGCTCTGCAGTTTCTTCCTGAATCATTGGGCACATGTCTGCAGAGTGACCCATACCAGTGCAAATCCCGCACACCCTGGCCTGAAATGCATTCCCTACAGCCAGTTGCCTAACAAACGAGGTCAACTCAGTTAGCTGCTGCTGGATAGAGGATGTCTCTATCTCATTCACCTTGCGTATTGGAACATCCTCTCTCGTACCGAATTGTTGTGAATTCTCTGCCATCCCCTCTATTAACTCCCGTGCTTCCCGAGGGGTTTTGTTCACCAGTGCCCCTCCACTTGCAGCATCAATTATGCTCCTATCTCTGAAAAGGAGCCCCTCATAAAAATACTGAATGAGCAACTGCTCACTTATCTGGTGCTGGGGACACTTGTGCAACAAGTTCTTGAACCGTTCCCAATACTCATAGAGTGACCCCCCTGGATGCTGCTTGATCCCGCAAATTTCTTTCCTTAGGCTTGCAGCCCTGGACGCAGGAAAATATTTGTCTAAAAATTTTTTCTTCAATTGGTCCCACGTGGTGATGCTACCTGGTGGCAGGTAGTACAGCCAGTCCTTTTCAGAATCCTTCAAGGAAAAGGGGAATGCCCTCATTTTTATCTGCTCTTCTGTAATTCCCGGGGGCTTCATACTATTGCACACGACATCAAACTCCTGCAGATGCTTATACGGCTCTTCATCTGGTAAATCATGAAAAGAGGGTAAAAGGTGAATTAGACCCGATTTCAATTCAAATGAAGTGTTTTCACTCAAACTCGGGAAAGTAATGCATAAAGGCTGCTGATTTAAATCAGGAGCAGCCAACTCCCTTAATGTTCGTGCATTAGCCATGGGGATTTCTTCCTGCTCCGAGTCACTTGAAGTGTCACCAAATGAATCTGTTGGTTCAACTTCTGACTCAGGTCTCTGAGACGTAGCACTGGAGTGCTCCTCTCTGAGCTGTCTGGTTTCCTTTCTCGTTCTACGCGCGGTCTTCTCTACTTCAGGGTCAAAAATCAAATCACCTGTACGAGAAGACCGAGGCATACACTAGAAAAATACCAGAAAATTAGAACAAAAATGAATTTAAAAAGAAACAAATAATAACGCCAGTCCCCGGCAACGGCGCCAAAAATTGACAGGCGTCGAACCTATGCAATAATAAATACCTGCTCAAACAAAATATAATTTCTGTAGATAGTGATAAGCAGGGTCGAATCCATAGGAACTGGGGATAATTTATTTCTTTTAGAGTCCGAAGTATGGGGGATTTTTGGAGAATATAAAATAACTAATTAACTAACTAATAAAACAACTAATAGAAATTAATCAATAACCAATATGACTCTAGCCAAAGGTACAACTTTTCAGACACGGTCCATGCAACTGATCATCGACGCAAAGATAATTCAATTACTTATTAATAGATTGGTTATAGTTGCCATACACGCGATAAACAACCAGCCTTTCCTTAATTTCTTGATAGTTAAGGTACGACCATTAACTATTTCTCTAACCAAGAAATAACCCTAGGTACGACCATAGGATTTAATTACTCGATTGCATTAATAATTAGAAAAGCCCAATCCTAACCAACAAACACGCTACGAGGGTTTGTTTAAGTTAGATCATACGTTTCCCTAACATGAAATCAATCACGCTAGTCGCCACTGGTATTAATCAATTGAACAATTACGGATTCAATCAATTAATTTGGCATTAGATCATTAGGTTAATTCGAATATCGGGCCCTTGACATTCAAATAACATAACAAGCATAAGCAATTAAATCAGGAAACGCACAAATACTAGTAAATAAAATAAATAAATAAAATAATTAGATCTCACAGATGTTCGAAACTGAGTCCTCAAATTGACCTTCGACTAGGAAAACTTAGCCACGCCTCATGAGAAAATCTCCAAGTAATTTAACTGAGGTCCATGCCATCAAAGGAACCAAGAAAGAATAAAACTAAACTATGCTAAAAACTCTCTGTAGCCTTTCTTCCGGTTGTCCTTATATAGCCAAAAGGAAATGACTAAAGCTATCTATCCAGTGGTCCCCACGACTAAGGAACAAAAACAACTCTTTGCACGTTTGTTTCCTTTCAATTCAAATGACTAATGCCTTTCTTCCCTCCGTGGTCCCCGCACAAATTGAGAAAGGAGTTTACATAAAGTGAAGTTCTCTGAAGTCCTTCTTTCTTTAGTTTCCTCTTGATAGTCAAACACTTCAACACTCCTAATCTGCAAAAAAAGAAATGCAGTCCGCGTATATCACCATGTGGGCCAGGTCTGTGGCTTATTTGAAGTCTCAATTATCTTCAGAAAGTCCCTCCTTTTTTGTAGTTTTCTGCTTCACTCCCTGAAATTGGGTCCAATACCAAATATAAGTAAATATTAATAATTAAAACAATATTTGGCAAGGATAAAAGGGGAAATTAACAACAAAATTACTAACAATTAACACCCTATCAATAAACATAGAAGAGAAAATATCAAAAACTTCCGGCGGGCATGACTCGCCGGAAACTGGAAAATTTCTAGCCAACTTGGCCGGATTTAGCCGGAATCGCGTTTCCCAACCTTTAATTTTAACATAAACATGAATCTTACATCACATTGAACTTAATCAAGCATCAAAATGATCCAAAAAATGCATAATCATGAAGATGTATGAGATCTAAGTTCTTTAAACATGAAAAACCCATAAATTCACCCAAATAGCTTGTATGACTATCGAATCGAACTAAAAACAGTTAGAGGAATACCTGATGAAGCTTTAAACGAAACTAGAATCGAGAGAACGCAAATGGAAGGTCGATTATGAAAGTTCCAGCAAGAGAGTAGTGAAACCAGGGATGATGAGACGGCAAATTTGAGGCCAGATTCGAAAGCTTTCCAATCATTTTTTCGACAAAAGTTCTAAACAAAAGCTCTTCCCCTAGCTACGTAGATGGTGTAAAATTCAAAGTTCCTCAATAGAAGCTATAATAAAAGATAAAAATGCTCTGAAATATGGCTATAGAATCAGCCTTTTCCCATAAATTTTCAACAAAAAATCTTTTTCCTTTTTTTCGCCTTGTCTTTCCTTTTTTCTCTCTGTTTTCTGCACTTTTTGATCTCTCCGCCACCTCCCTTCTGTTCTCCTCTCATATTGGCTTCGTTTCTATCCCTTTCATAGGAACCCACAAGCCCAAAACCTCACCTCAGAGGTGAGGATGAAGGCTGGGTTTTTTCAGAAAATTTGAGCCATTCGATGGCATTTTTCTAGAAAGATCTTGATATAGATTAAGGGCATGAGGTGGCAAATGGCTGGGGAAAAAGAAAAAACAAAAACAAGTGCATTTGGAGGCAAAAAATGGCCTCTGCAATTTTGTTTTTGATCCTCCATGGCTTCTTGTACGAAGCCATTGGGGCTGGCTGGTGCACGTGCATTGGCTGCCCCCCTTTTTTTTTCAAAAACTGTATTTGATTTTTTTTCTTTTTTGCTTTTCTTTTCTTTCCTTTTTTGATATTTCTAAAAATGATTTTTTTTAAGAAATAGAAGTGAAACAAATAAATAAAAATAAAATAAAATTTAACTAAAAAATAAATAAAAATGATAAAATTTTGGTGTCTACAATAATAATAATAATAAGAATAATAAATGGAGACAAAAATATGAAATGTGATTGTTTCTTAACAACAATATTCAAGCTACTATAACATGTCGTAACAATAATAAGTAGGAGACTTAATCCTAAACAAAATAAATAAAAGTTGAGCCATCATAAGATAAAAATAGATATCCACATAAAAAATTTGATAGAATTGATCTTAGAGCCATCATAATGAATATTTCATCCCACTTCACCAGTGGCTTAAAGGTACATATTATAGACAGAGAACCCTTAAAAGAATACAACTTTATGGAGTAGACGGAAGTTTTCACCACGATAGTATGTTGTAGGATATGATAATCCGTGATAGTATCTTCTAGAAAATGATAATCCATGCTTTGTGAGGAATACTTCTATAAAAGCTGCACTACACTGTCTCATGCAGCCAACTCATGATCCATCATCAGAAAATTTTCTAATTTGTTGATCGAAGTGTCTGCAAACTAAGGAAGCCCTCATGAAATGTGCAGAAAATTTTTTTCATGTTTTTTACGTATGATGAACTGGAACACCTGAGTTATCCATGGCATTGCTATTGTAGAAAGCTTGAACCATTGATCAAGGGCAAAAGAAATGAAAGAAAGCATTGAGGAAAAAAAATATCTATCATTATAACTGCCACTTCGAGGGCAAAAGTCAGAAATATACATCTATGCTTTAAGATTTCATCGTGTAACAAGACATCAAAGAAAGAAAGAATGAAATAACCACATCAAAGAAAGAAAGAATCAAATAATCAAAAAAAAAAAAAACAGAGTCGTAGACACTCTCTAATTGGTAAAAACTACCAAAATATACTAGTGTTAGTTGTCATTGTCCTTGCATGGCCGAACCGCTCCCTAAATACTTGCTGGCCAAGCTTTTAAGCTTAATGACCAGGTCCTCTAGGGCAAGGTCCAGAAGCCAACCTTTCAAGCCAATGCGACATCGTGTCTCTTGCTTTTGCATAAATCGAAGGAAATTTATCCAAGTGATTGGCACCTGCGAAGTCTTCCTCTGTCAACA